ACAGGTAGAGTGGATGTACGCATATTGTGCACGTGCAGGTCATGATGATGAAATTAAATACCCTTCCTTTTTACACGCGTGTCGCTCATAAGACTATTGATAGGTCGGCGTGACAAGTCGATACTCGAATTTCTCTGAAAGCCGTTTTAAAGAATTTAATTACAAACAAATAAACATGTGAAAGCACATGGCCACATCATACATTCCCAGGGTCGGGAAGTGGCCTTGTATAATATGACAGTATAATTACATGAAGAAAGAACGTACAACTAAATCACCACTTATAATGTACCCCGTGTTATACTGCTACAACTTACTGGCAGGACGAGCAACAGGCTGACCACATCGCCGGGGTATGATGCTACACCGTCCGCCCAGCCACACCACGAGCCGACCTAACTACACGTGGACATGTGCCTTTATGTAACCTCTCTGCAAACGAAGCAATCTGATTGACCCTGTGCTGATGGCGATCTCATCAGCCTTTCACCGGGAAATCCCTTTGAAGTGTGGAGTTACGATCATTTAACGAGCAGGTTTGTGAGATCCTAGCGCAGACACTAAAGTTTCATTCCGACTTCCATTACAAATCTAATGAAATGTGAGGCTGATTCCCCCTTCCAAACATCAACATCTCAGAGCTGCAAGGGAGGTTGAGTTAGCAGAGAACCTGGGGAACTGAAAATGAGGTGTTAATTATTGCACATGAAGACAGGTGTCGTCCTCTATCCAAAAACACCATCATTACCAGTGAAACATTTTAAACTACACGGATAACCATAAATAACTGTCACTTGTTGGAGACTCGCTCATACGTCACCTGTGCGCACACCGACGTACTTTAGACTACGATGTTGTTACTGATCGAGAGGTGTAGGCAGTGTTCGAAATAGCTGTTGTAGCCAAGCTGTAGTCAGGTAGCAAAGTACTGCACTATTTAGACAAATGCTTCTCATTGGCGTATTCTGATGAAGCCAAATGCTGTACAGTGGAGTATTCTGATGAAACCAAATGCTGTACAGTGGCGCATTCTGACTTACCCAGTTGCTGTACAGTGGCGTATTCTGATGAAGCCAATTGCTGCATAGTGGCGTATTCTGATGAAGCAGTTGCTGCATAGTGGCGTATTCCGATGTAACCAATTGCTGTACAGTGGCGTATTCTGATTTAGCCAATTGTTGTACAGTGGCGTATTCTGATGTAGCCAATTGCTACACAGTGGCGTATTCTGATGTCGCCAATTGCTGTACAGTGGCGTATTCTGATGTAGCCGATTGCTACACAGTGGCGTATTCTGATGTCGCCAATTGCTGCATAGTGGCGTATTCCGATGTAACCAATTGCTATACAGTGGCGTATTCCGATGTAACCAATTGTTGTACAGTGGCATATTCTGATTTAGCCAATAGCTGTAAAGTGGCGTATTCTGATTTAGTCAATTGTTCTACAGTGGCGTATTCTGATGTAGCCAATTGCTGCCTAGTGGCGTATTCCGATGTAACTTATTGCTATACAGTGGCGTATTCCAGTGTAACCAATTGCTATACAGTGGCTTATTCCGATGTAACCAATTGCTGTACAGTGGCATATTCTGATGTAACCAATTGCTATACAGTGGCGTATTCTGATGTAGCCGAATGCTATACAGTGGCGCATTCTGATGTAACCAATTGCTGTACAGTGGCGTATTCTGATTTAGCCAATAGCTGTACAGTGGCGTATTCTGATTTAGCCAATAGCTGTACAGTGGCGTATTCTGATGTAACCAATTGCTGTACAGTGGCGTATTCTGATTTAGCCAGTTGCTGTACAGTGGCGTATTCTAATTAAACCAATTGCTACACAGTGGTGTATTCTGATGTAGCCAATTGTTGTACAGTGGCGTATTCTGATGTAGCCAATTGCTGTACAGTGGCGTATTCTGATGTAGCCAATTGCTGTACAGTGGCGTATTCTGATGTAGCCATTTGCTGTACATGTACAGTGGCGTATTCTGATGAAGCAGTTGCTGCAAAATGGGGTATTCCGATGGAACCAATTGCTGTAAAGTGGCGTATTCTGCTTTAGCAAATTGCTGTACAATGGAGTATTCTGATGTAGCCAATTGCTGTACAGTGGCGTATTCTGATGTCGCCATTTGCTGTACAGTGGCGTATTCTGATGTAGCCGATTGCTACACAGTGGCGTATTCTGATGTCGCCAATTGCTGTACAGTAGGATATTCTGATTAAGCCAATTGTTGCACAGTGGCGTATTCTGATTTATCCAATTGCTGCATAGTGGCGTATTCTGATGTAGCCAATTGCTATACAGTGGCGTATTCTGATGTAACCAATTGCTGTACAGTGGCATATTCTGATTTAGCCAATAGCTGTAAAGTGGCGTATTCTGATTTAGTCAATTGTTGTACAGTGGCGTATTCTAATGTAGCCAATTGCTGTACAGTGGCGTATTATGATGAAGCCAGTTGCTGCCTAGTGGCGTATTCCGATGTAACCAATTGCTATACAGTGGCGTATTCCGATGTAACCAATTGTTGTACAGTGGCATATTCTGATTGAGCCAATAGCTGTAAAGTGGCGTATTCTGATGTAGTCAATTGTTCTACAGTGGCGTATTCTGATGTCGCCAATTGCTGTACAGTGGCGTATTCTGATGTAGCCGATTGCTACACAGTGGCGTATTCTGATGTCGCCATTTGCTGTACAGTAGGATATTCTGATTAAGCCAATTGCTACACAGTGGCGTATTCTGATGTAGCCAATTGTTGCACAGTGGCGTATTCTGATTTATCCAATTGCTGCATAGTGGCGTATTCTGATGTAACCAATTGCTATACAGTGGCGTATTCTGATGTAACCAATTGCTGTACAGTGGCATATTCTGATTTAGCCAATAGCTGTAAAGTGGCGTATTCTGATTTAGTCAATTGTTGTACAGTGGCGTATTCTAATGTAGCCAATTGCTGTACAGTGGCGTATTATGATGAAGCCAATTGCTGACTAGTGGCGTATTCCGATGTAACCAATTGCTATACAGTGGCGTATTCCAATGTAACCAATTGTTGTACAGTGGCATATTCTGATTGAGCCAATAGCTGTAAAGTGGCGTATTCTGATTTAGTCAATTGTTGTACAGTGGCGTATTCTGATGTAACCAATTGCTGTACAGTGGCGTATTATGATGAAGCCAATAGCTGTAAAGTGGCGTATTCCGATGTAACCAATTGCTATACATTGGCGTATTCTGATGTAACCAATTGTTGTACAGTGGCATATTCTGATTTAGCCAACAGCTGTAAAGTGGCGTATTCTGATTTAGTCAATTGTTGTACAGTGGCGTATTCTGATGTAGCCAATTGCTGCCTAGTAGCGTATTCCGATGTAACTTATTGCTATACAGTGGCGTATTCCAGTGTAACCAATTGCTATACAGTGGCGCATTCTGATTTAACCAATTGCTATACAGTGGCGTATTCTGATTTAGCCAATAGCTGTACAGTGGCGTATTTTGATTTAGCCAATAGCTGTACAGTGGCGTATTCTGATGTAACCAATTGCTGTACAGTGGCGTATTCTGATTTAGCCAGTTGCTACAAATGTACAGTGGCGTATTTTGATGTAGCCAATTGCTGTACACTGGCGTATTCTGATGTAGCCAATTGCTGTACAGTGGCATATTCTAATGTAGCCAATTGCTGTACAGTGGCGTATTCTGATTAAACCAATTGCTACTCAGTGGTGTATTCTGATGTAGCCAATTGTTGTACAGTGGCGTATTCTGATGTAGCCAATTGCTGTACAGTGGCGTATTCTGATTTGGCCAATTGCTGTTCAGTGGCGTATTCTGATGTAGCCATTTGCTGCAAAATGGGGTATTCCGATGGAACTAATTGCTGTACAGTGGCGTATTCTGCTTTAGCAAATTGCTGTACAATGGAGTATTCTGATTTGGCCAATTGCTGTACAGTGGCGTATTCTGATGAAGCAGTTGCTGCAAAATGGGGTATTCCGATGGAACTAATTGCTGTACAGTGGCGTATTCTGCTTTAGCAAATTGCTGTACAATGGAGTATTCTGATGTAGCCAATTGCTGTACAGTGGCGTATTCTGATGTCGCCAATTGCTGTACAGTGGCGTATTCTGAATTAGCCAATTGTTGTACAGTGGCGTATTCTGATGCAGCCAATGCTGTACAGTGGCGTATTCTGATGTAGCCAATTGCTGTACAGTGGCGTATTCTGAATTAGCCAATTGTTGTACAGTGGCGTATTCTGATGTAGCCAATGCTGTACAGTGGCGTATTCTGATGTAGCAAATTGCTGTACAGTGGCGTATTCTGATTTAGCCAATTGTTGTACAGTAGGATATTCTGATTTATCCAATTGCTGCAGAGTGGCGTATTCTGATGTAGCCAGTTGCTGCATAGTGGCGTTTTCTGAGGTAACCAATTGCTGTACAGTGGCGTGTACCGATTTAGTCAGTTGCTGTACAGTGACGTATTCTGGTGTAGCCAATTGCAGCAAAGTGATGTGTTGTTGTAGACATGTGATGTTGAGGCAGTTCTATAAGAATTCTTATGTCGAGCTAATCGATCTAAGTCTGTAAAACAACCGGAGTAGATGAAAGTGAAACATTTGACACCAGTGTTACACAGACAGAAATCTATTATCTCTTTGCCACATCATCCGATTCTTGAACCACATCAATCAACGTCTCATTTCCGCTTTACCTCCACCAGACACCGTGGTGTAGTACTTCCAGGAGGCACCTAACACTGTTTGGGATTGTTTTATGTCTCTCAGCCAACACGGTCTAACCGATTGTTTCCTTCTGTTGAAAGGCTTTATAAACATTCCTGATGATAGGACTGTAAAGTAGTGGGAACCGCTGCCCACACGGGTCGTATACACAGAGTCTGGGGGAAGGCAGTTCCATATATCCCTTTACTCAAACAAGGAATACCAACATGCGTGCACTATATCCCTCTACTCAAACAAGGAATAGCAACATGCGTGTACAACACCCCTCTAGTCAAACCAGGAATACCAACATGCGTGTACAACACCCCTCTAGTCAAACCAGGAAGACCAACATACGTGTACAACACCCCTCTAGTCAAACCAGGAATACCAACATGCGTGTACAATACCCCTATAGTCAAACCAGGAATACCAACATGCGTGCACTATATCCCTCTACTCAAACAAGGAATAGCAACATGCGTGTACAACACCCCTCTTGTCAAACCAGGAATACCAACATGCGTGTACTATATCCCTCTTGTCAAACCAGGAAGACCAACATACGTGTACAACACCCCTCTAGTCAAACCAGGAATACCAACATGCGTGTACAATATCCCTATAGTCAAACCAGAAATACCAACATGCGTGCACTATATCCCACTTGTCAAACCAGGAATACCAACATGCGTGTACAACACCCCTCTTGTCAAACCAGGAATACCAACATGCGTGTACTATATCCCTCTTGTCAAACCAGGAATACCGTCATGCGTGTACAACACCCCTCTAGTCAAACCAGGAATACCAACATGCGTGTACAACACCCCTCTAGTCAAACCAGGAATACCAACATACGTGTACAACACCCCTCTAGTCAAACCAGGAATACCAACATACGTGTACAACACCCCTCTAGTCAAACCAGGAATACCAACATGCGTGCACTATATCCCTCTTGTCAAACCAGGAATACCAACATGCGTGTACAACACCCCTCTAGTCAAACCAGGAATACCAACATGCGTGTACAATAACCATATAGTCAAACCAGGAATACCAACATACGTGCACTATGTCCCACTTGTCAAACCAGGAATACCAACATGCGTGTACAACACCCCTCTTGTCAAACCAGGAATACCAACATGCGTGTACTATATACCTCTTGTCAAACCAGGAATACCAACATGCGTGTACTATATACCTCTTGTCAAACAAGGAATACCAACATGCGTGTACAACACCCCTCTAGTCAAACCAGGAAAACCAACATGCGTGCACTATATCCCTCTAGTCAAACCAGGAATACCAACATGCGTGCAGTATATACCCCTAGTCAAACAAGGAATACCAACATACGTGAGACTGCCCTCATTGAACTGAACCGAACCGAACTGAACTTTACCTCCTAAGTAACGTCGATGCGTACATGGTGTACTTATGATATCAGTACGAAGATGTTGAACTCATATTTCATGATTTCATGAAGTTCGCCAACTGAACTCAGGGAATCGATGGTCCTTGAAGAACAAGTAAATGTATGGAAGATACAACACCCCTCGATGAATGTGAACAATGAGAGAAGTGGGTAAATGCCTAACTATAGTATTCTTACCGATTCGGACCTGAGCATACATGCAATAGACATACCTGCGCTCGGGATTTGTCAAGCGGGAGACATGGGTTGAGGTACCTGTCGGGGAACACATTGCTGACAGGTGAGAGGGTAGGAGGGTGAGAGGATGCATCAGCCATGTCTCCCGATTGACCGGTGGACAACTTATAATATACAATGAACTACGGTTATAACGAACTCAAAGGGACCCCTAAATTTAGTTCGTTATAACCGTAGTTCGTTATAAGCATACTTACAACATATATACAGCAAATGGACGGGACCAGAAAAACAGTTCGTTATATCCGTCAGCTCGTTATAAGCGTGTTCGTTATAAACGTAGTTTACTATACCATATTCAAACAACGTTTCGCTTAACCCAGTTAACACTGAACTCTGTTATGTGGTATAGGCTGAGGGAAAGATCCAGTCGTACTTATACCGGGTATTTATTATATGTGTACGGGTGAGTAACTAGCACATAAAAGTACAATTCCAAACTTTCTTTTTGAGGAGTTTTGCTTTAAAAAGTGTTGCCAGCGCTCGGGGGATCCTGTAATACATACAAAGTCAAACATGGAGATGCAGCTGATATGTACTGTGATATTGGGCCTGATATGGTGACACAATTGATAGGAAGTGTCCCATAATGTGACAGATACAGTCGAGTTGTTGGACTCCTCTCAATAATGTTGTTGTTTAACGCCGCACTCAGCATCATGTCAGCTATATGACGGCGGTCTGTAAATAATCCAATCTGGACCAAACAATCCAGTGATTGATGTCATGAGCATCGATCTACGCAATTGGGAAACGATAACATGACGATGACATCAACCAAGTCAGCGAGCCTGACCACCCGATCCCGTCAGTAGCCTCTTGCGACAAGCATAGTCGCCCGTTACGGCAAGCATGGGTTGCTGGAGACCTATTCTACCCCGGATCTTCACAGGTCTCAATAATGTAAGACAAAGAGACCTCTTGTTAAAAGTGCGAGCGTATGAAACAGCCCCATTGCCACTGAAACATCCGTTCATTCATCCGGGAAACCACGTGTAAACTGATGAAAGCAGACGTCGTTCGATTGTTGGGTCTGGTTAGCCTCCTGAGTGTTGGTCATCACGAGGACCGGCCGCCTCAAGGTTCCTGCTACAAGATATTTCACGTGATATTACAATGAAGGAGTGAATGGTGGTCGATGTAGGAGTGTACTGTGACCGACGAAGGAGTGAATGGTGGCCGATGGAGTGAATGGCGGCCGATGAAGGAGTGAATGGTGGCTGATGAAGGAGTGAATGGTGGCCGATGAAGGAGTGAATGGCGGCCGATGAAGGAGTGAATGGTGGCCGATGAAGGAGTGAATACCGGCCGATGAAGGAGTAAATGGCGGCCGATGAAGGAGTGAATGGCGGCCGATGTAGGAGTGAATGGTGGTCAATGTAGGAGTGTATTATGACCGATGAAGGAGTGAATGGTGGTCGATGTAGGAGTGTATTGTGACCGATGAAGGAGTGAATGGTGGTCGATGTAGGAGTGTATTGTGACCGACGAAGGAGTGAATGGTGGCTGATGAAGGAGTGAATGGCGGCCGATGAAGGAGTTAATGGTGGCCGATGAAGGAGTGAATGGTGGCCGATGAAGGAGTGAATGGTGGTCGATGTAGGAGTGTATTGTGACCGACGAAGGAGTGAATGGTGGCCGATGAAGGAATGAATGGTGGCCGATGAAGGAGTGAATGGCGGCCGATGAAGGAGTGAATGGCGGTCGATGAAGGAGTGAATGGTGGTCGATGTAGGAGTGTATTGTGACCGATGAAAGAGTGAATGATGGTCGATGTAGGAGTGTATTGTGACCGATGAAGGAGTGAATGGTAGTCGATGTAAGAGTGTATTGTGACCGACGAAGGAGTGAATGGTGGTCGATGTAGGAGTGTATTGTGACCGATGAAGGAGTGAATGGTGGTCGATGTAGGAGTGTATTGTGACCGATGAAGGAGTGAATGGTGGTCGATGTAGGACTGTATTGTGACCGATGAAGGAGTGAATGGTGGTCGATGTAGGAGTGTATTGTGACCGATGAAGGAGTGAATGGTGGTCGATGTAGGAGTGTATTGTGACCGACGAAGGAGTGAATGGTGGCCGATGAAGGAGTGAATGGTGGCCGATGAAGGAGTGAATGGTGGCCGATGAAGGAGTGAATGGTGGCCGATGAAGGAGTGAATTGCGGCCGATGAAGGAGTGAATGGTGGCCGATGAAGGAGTGAATACCGGCCGATGAAGGAGTGAATGGCGGCCGATGAAGGAGTGAATGGCGGTCGATGAAGGAGTGAATGGTGGTCGATGAAGGAGTGAATGGCGGTCGATGAAGGAGTGAATGGTGGTCGATGTAGGAGTGAATGGCGGCCGATGAAGGAGTGAATGGCGGTCGATGAAGGAGTGAATGGTGGCCGATGAAGGAGTGAATGGCGGTCGATGTAGGAGTGTATTGTGACCGATGAATGAGTGAATGGTGGTCGATGTAGGAGTGTATTGTGACCGATGAAGGAGTGAATGGTGGTCGATGTAGGAGTGTATTGTGACCGATGAAGGAGTGAATGGTGGTCGATGTAGGAGTGTATTGTGACCGACGAAGGAGTGAATGGTGGCCGATGAAGGAGTGAATACCGGCCGATGAAGGAGTGAATGGCGGCCGATAAAGGAGTGAATGGCGGTCGATGAAGGAGTGAATGGTGGTCGATGTAGGAGTGTATTGTGACCGATGAAAGAGTGAATGGTGGTCGATGTAGGAGTGTATTGTGACCGACGAAGGAGTGAATGGTGGTCGATGTAGGAGTGTATTGTGACCGATGAAAGAGTGCATGGTGGTCGATGTAGGAGTGTATTGTGACCGATGAAGGAGTGAATGGTGGTCGATGTAGGAGTGTATTGTGACCGATGAATGAGTGAATAGTGGTCGATGTAGGAGTGTATTGTGACCGATGAAGGAGTGAATGGTGGTCGATGTAGGAGCGTATTGTGACCGACGAAGGAGTGAATGGTGGTCGATGTAGGAGTGTATTGTGACCGACGAAGGAGTGAATGGTGGCCGATGAAGGAGTGAATGGCGGCCGATGAAGGAGTGAATGGTGGCTGATGAAGGAGTGAATGGCGGCCGATGAAGGAGTGAATGGTGGCCAATGAAGGAGTGAATGGTTGCCGATGAAGGAGTGAATGGTGACCGATGAAGGAGTGAATGGTGGCCGATGATGGAGTGAATGGAGGCCGATGAAGGAGTGAATGGCGGCTGATGAAGGAGTGAATGGTGACTGATGAAGGAGTGAATGGTGGCTGATGAAGGAGTGAATGGTGACCGATGAAGGAATGAATGACGGCTTAGGAAGCAGTAAATGACTGCCACCGCCTCCAGGCTTATGCTGGAGAACTTCGTAAAAACAACTCTGTGACCTTATGATTCAAACACTATTGACAATATCAATGAATAAAGTATCTAAAGACAATTCCGTATTAAAGTGTCTCTGATTGAGCTGTCCAATATCTCAACCGTGTGTATGTATTTTGTTGTCAATTGTACAGAAAGGTGCAGCGTTTTCCTGACAGATACATTTGCACACACGTAAAACTACCTTGTCGAGCTGCCGTACGTCATCATCTTGCGGGGTTGAAATGTTTTCCTTGTACAGATTGCGACACGTCAGGGCTATGTTTCAAAGCTTTCACTTCAATTTGTGTCGGTAACTATATTTCATAGTAATGTACACTGACAATATAACATGTACTCGCCTGTTCCAAGTGCTCATGCCTGGAAAACACTGTTGATTTACACAAGGAAAGAGAGCATTACTTGGTAAAACAAGTCTTTCTTTCATGTGACATTTCAGACAAACTCATACAAAGGGATGTAAGACCGCAAGAGAATCGAAAGAAGTAAGAGTGTTGTGTGTCTGCCCCCGGACGTCTGAACACAGCGGCCGGAAGTGCAAACATCTCGGCCTGAAGGCGCGCGCATCAGTAGTGATGGTGGTTCCGGTTTGTTAGACAATGGCACACACACAATAGACCGAAGTACGACACACGTCTTCACATTCAACTTGTGGCGCTGAACATGCAAACTGTTTTAACACACGGACTTGACCCCACGTACACGACAACGACTACATCTACTTAATGCCCTGGTCTCAGGACAGGTCAAGATTAAACAACTTCGGGATTCATCAAAGGGTTTGCCTCGCAAAATTATGTACATGTGCGGCCTAACGCCGCAGCTGTCGCTCTGAAACAAGCCCTTTGTGGCCATGGCGTTACACCGTCAATAACATATCTCAATGAGGTTGAGAGACTGCGCCAGAATGACCCTACAGAGCGTTGAATTGTGTGCAGCACACATCAAAGTCATATCTCACGCTTGTTACTCCAACTCAAGAACGAGGATAAAACATTTTCTCGATGAAGTAATGTTTCTCACGCCAAATCTTCAGCTGCTGAGAAAGGGATAACGATGTTTCCCCACTACTCCATCTGACAAGACTGAACTGAGGACCACCATGCAAGGAGTTTTATGAACAGCTAAATGGTGCTTGTGTCAAGTGTAAGTGGATGTTTGTGTTCACCTGGAGAAAGACTGGGCACTTTGTACACAAGCAGGAGACTGTGGGAACAGGCGCAATATTGTCATGCAGTATATTTTCCGATAAGGAGCCACCAAAAAACAGCCGCACCAGGTGAACAGAAGTAGGTCATAACCCATAATATTTCTTTCCAATAAAATCAGT